TAGATGTGATTTACAACTGAATGAAGCTTTAATAAACCTATTTGTTTTGACCGTCTCTTTCCCTGTCTTCGGTGGTTAAGTGAATTCTCAGCTTCCTTTGACAAGGTTCGAGGGTCGGTATACAAAGAAATTATTAAAAAAACCTATTTGTTTTGTTTTAGAGTCAACATATAGAGTAAATTGGTGGTCTGAGATTCACGGGATTGGCAATTTTACTTGATTGTACGAAATTCTATAATATGAGATGGAATTTTCAATAATAAAACTAGAGGGGACTGATCTAAACAGTTAACACTAGTAGAATGACCCTTTGTGGTCATTTGACCAGAATTCTAGGGTTCCCCTTCGGAAAATAAAGGGCAAATAAATGAAATAATCATAATTTTCACTATAGAAATGCTTGTGTTAGTATTGCTAATCGGTATCCTTTGTTATACATATAAGCAGTGGTCTGTATATATATGATTAATACTTACAATTTTTAAACACCTCCAATATATATATATATGGAGGTGTTTAAAAATGGTATATAAGTATTAATCATATAAACATTTTTTCAGCTAATTTTAAGATGCCTATAAATATCATCAAGCTTAAACCCTATTACGTTAAGGCTCATCTTTCTAGTAATTTGCTTTTCAATTATGTTCCTATAACTGACAGGTAATGAATGACTAATGAACATTACCACCAAAATACAAATATATATATAACTATTACTGACAGGTAATGAATGACTAATGAACATTACCATGGGTGGTCATCCGTAGGAATGTTTTAGATGATATTAATAATTTTTCTTATTATCCTACTTCAATCTTTGTCTGCAAATTTACCTTCTCTGGCTGATTTTTCTTGGTTTTCATATCGTCTTACATGAAGCACAAATTCAAAGCTTATGGATAGATAGCTGATTCGCAGCTTAGCTTAACAGGAACTTTAAGTTATTTGTATGCTATCTAACTGATTTTCTTCAATTGCAGATATCAGAGGTTGTTAATAGCATGAAGGATTTGATTGATTATAGCCGTGAGACAGGAATGGGGCCAATGGGTATAGTTCATAACTTTTGATCTTCCAATATTTATGATCATTATTATTCCTAACTGATCTATTAAGAAGCATTTGTGTTATTCATTTGGTGTTGTGCTGATCCCGCCTATCTTCCTGGCCTATGTAAGCCCTAATAATTAGGTAGAGCAGCAAGAAACCTGGGAAGACATTGGCTCAGGTTGTCATCCCCTTGTAAAAATTGAAAAGATGCGGTAAATGGCGTCGCCAAATGATCACCTGGGTTTCACACATGGATATGACGATATGACCTCCTAAGACCCTCCAAATTCATAAAAAAACTTGGAAAAATATAAACATACCATGTCGGATGTATACTTGTTTCCGACACACCCGATCTCAGTAATATAGCTTTATAGTGTTCGAGGTCTCTTTTAATGTCAATGAATCCAAATTATTTTGGAAACGTTGAAATTTCACAAGTAGCATTGTTATTGATCTGGTCTCTTTTTTTTTTTTACCTCAAGGCAATGGTAATACTTTTTATTCATTTTCAGAAAGTCTGGCCAAGTTCCCGAGGAGCAGTTCCCCATCGTCTGCACAGCATAGTTCAGCACCGCAAACTGAGGAGCAGCAGCAAGTTGCTGGTGAAACTGCAAATAATGATTCAACACAATCAACTGTTCTGCAGCCTTATACAAGCAATGCTGTTGCCAGTGTAAACAACTCCCAGGGTGCAAGTTCCACTTCTACATCTGCTACCACCATTGTTGGGCTTCTCCGACAGAATTCCATGAATTCTAGGATTGAAAATCAGATGAATTATCCTAACAGTCCCTATGCTGGAACTCCAGTTCAGATCCCATCAGCAGGGTCCTCTACTTCTTTTCCACCCTTTCAACCTAATCTTTCTTCGCGCTTCTCATCTACAATACCATCCTCATCTGGTCTCCCTCCCCAAAATGTTCATAGTGCCTTGGGTCCTTCCACTACAGCAAAGAGTGTCAATTCAGAAAATCCATCTGCACATATTCCACCTCAGCAATCATCTCAGACAAGTGAAGTCGACCCAAATGAATCTCAGAGCTCTGTCGAAAAAATCATTCAAGAAATGATTTCATTACAGTTCAGTGAAGGAGGTAGCATGGTCCGTGCTGGTTCTATGGAGAATAACTTGAATAACAATAATGGGCTTCCACAGGTGAGTGGCGGCTGCATGATGGGAAATGGGTTCGTCAATAACTATTCAGGCATTGGAAGTGGAGGGTTCGGGAATACCAGTGGTGGCATGGGTCTTTCTTCCAATCCTACTGCTATGAGACCTGCCATGTGGAACAATTCTATGAATTTAGCCGGAAGGGCTAGAATGCCACTGATGATGTCTCAGGATGCTGTGAACCATCAACAACAAGAACTAGCTAACAGATTGCTCAATGGGCTCGGAGCAGTAAATGGGTTTGATAGCCTTCAATTTGATTGGAAATCCCCCTGAATTAGCTTTGAAGACTAGTATTTTATGATTTTGCTGAGGTTTGTGGTGTTAATACAGAGTGCTTGTGCCATGCATCCTGGTTTTGCCTTGAGTTGGAGTGGTGATGCATGGTTAAGAGAATTTCTTCCAATTTGATACCTATTATAGAGAGAAGGCTAACATGTAACTCGGCTTTGGAAGTTGAATACTTAATTTCTTTAGCTCCCCCCCCCACAAAAAAAAAAAAAAACCGACCCTCTGCTGTCTAGAGTGTGCTTGTTTCATGGCCCTTATGTGAGACCCGAAAGCCGAAGCAGTGCACACTAGAAGGCCCGCATGGTTTGGAGGTGTTACTGGCTCATTCTCAAGGTTACTTGCAGGGTTCTCTTATGCACGTTTGTGTGTTTCCTGTGTGATCAGTGTCGGAATGGAACTTGGCTGGAGGCTGTTCAGGTATAGCTTCAGATGATTGTTCTCTGATAAAAAAATTTGTAATACATAAATGAATATCAATATTTTAGTTTGTTAGTAGTGATCTTGCTTGATGAGTAATTTAGATTCAAATTCGTAACTTACATATATCGAGATAATGCATAATTTAACGAGAGATACTAAGACATTGCGGGGTGCTATCGACTCTTGAACTTAATTCATTTTCTTCTAGTTTTCGAGCGTAGACTTTAAAATTATTTTTCAAAAGAAGGATTTTTAATTTTTTTAAAAAAAAGATGATTTTGTTAGTGATCGGTCATACTTAAATGACCAGATACTCAATTTAAATGAATGGCGACGATTTCAATTTTCATTAAATCTCATAATTTTTTTAATCAAAAAGAATAAATCAAACATGTATTTGTTCTTAGCCAACTTAGAAATAATCGTAGTTGGGTTATTCTGAAAAATTAATTATTACAGTGTATAACTTCTAAAATTATAAAAAAAGTTTAAAGAGCTTAGTTATTTTTTAATCCATCATATGATAGAACACTCTCATCTAACATATTCAAACACAAAACTTAACATTTTTAATCAATTTAAATCCGACATTACTTAGATAACTTTTCAGATTCAGACCATAATGGATTTTTCATAAAGACATGAGTTTCCCAAACTTGAGTGAACAGAGAACTAGCTAGGGATAGAATTTTCAGTTTATGAAAGAGAGTTGAATAAACAAAGCAGATGGTGTAAACAAGTATTGGAACTTGTTAGCATGTGCTTCATAGGTTTAATCCTGGTTTCTTCGGCACTCGGCAATGGAGCATTCAAATTCAAAACATGCGTTACACTACACCATGAAACGTCCCTATTCAAACCATGCATTTATTGTACAATTGGATTTATCTATTATAGATAACTCATAAATCACAATTTAAACTAAAAAAAATCCTATCAGGATTCTCGACTTTTACTAATTTAAATATGCACTAAATATCGAGTTTGAACAATTATATATATAGAGTGTGTATGTTGTCGATTGATTAAGAAAATTATGAATATGTACTACCTTAAATCACTTCTAATTATTAAAAACAAAAAATTCATCTAATATAATTCTTAATTCAAAACCATGTTTTCTTATCTAAATTTAACTTCCCTCAAATTTATCTAGTTAAGATGAATAATTTGAGTATGAATATGATTAAATAATTAATAATAATAATAATAATTTGCCTACCTACTCTGATTTGGTAATTATTTATAGTTTGTTGAAAAAAAGGCAATATATGGAATATTCATCAATACTACGCCAATTTTTGGTATTTATTACTGATTTATTGCTATAAATCAATTTAATTTTATAAAATAAAATTTAATGTTTTCACACTCAAGTGCAACAGATTTTAGGGCCACGCCACGATTAAAAAAATCATTTTCTCTTTTTTAATTTTCATTTATACACTCTATTTTCATTTCACAACACATATTCTGCATATATATATATATATAGTTATTTAAATCCATGAGTACTTCTAAGAATTTTTTTTTTATTATTGAGTCCATTTGATAGATTCGTTAAATATAAACACATTAAAGATTTTATGATATTATAAAATTTAAACTTTTTTCTATATAATATGTATACATTTATGCTCCCCTTCCTCTATAAATCAGATGAAATTAAATGTTCAAACATGTTCGATATTATACCAACAACTCAGTCGGTTTGAAGCTTTAAACTTAGGAGTAGGGTTCTTAGGAAAGAATACCCTACATTGTGTAATATTGTGGTAAATAGGGTTTAAAATTAGATGTATAAAGATTATTGACTGTGAACCTAAATTACCAAATTCACAACCATAATTACGTGCCTTCCTTTTAAAACCCTCAACATGTACACAGAATCTGCAACAATGGAAAATCAATTAATGCTAATATTAATAAAATTTGTTGCAAGTTTGTTCCATACCTCATTTTTAAGTGTATAAAAACCATACAGCGTTGCTCTTCGCTTACTGCCTTATAAAACTCCAAAGAGAAGAGTGTTGTTTTTTCTTACAAAATACCAAAAAAAACAATGGAGCAAGTTGTGGTGATTGTTGGTGCCGGACCGTCTGGTCTCGCAACATCTGCATGCTTGTCGGTTCACTCCATCCCTCATGTGATCCTCGAAAGAGAAGACGTTTATGCTTCTCTTTGGAAGAAACGAGCGTATGACCGGTTGAAGCTTCACTTGGCCAAAGAATTCTGTGCTTTGCCGTTCAAACCACACTCACCAGATAGCCCTACTTACATACCAAAAGACATGTTCGTCGACTACCTCGATGACTACGTCAAAAACTTCAACATCCAACCCCTGTACCGCCGATCCGTCGAACTGGCTTTCTACGACAAAGCCACCGGGAAATGGCGGATCGAGGCCAAGAACATGGAGTCCGGCGCCGTCGAGGTTTACGTCGCGGAGTTCTTGGTTATAGCTTCTGGTGAAAACAGTGCCAAGTACGTCCCGGACCTGCCCGGGTTGGATACTTTCAAAGGCGAAATCATCCACTCCAACGAGTACAAATCCGGTGACAAGTACAAAAACAACGAAGTTTTAGTTGTCGGATGTGGCAATTCGGGGATGGAGATAGCTTACGATGTCTCAAATTTCGGGGTCCCGACGTCCATTGTCATACGAAGCCCCGTAAGAATCGGCATCCTCTCTCTCTTGCATGCAGGTTTCTGTTACATCGAAACATGCAAAATCTCGATTTCTTACATATTTTTGCTCCTTTTTTTTTCAGTTTCATGTGGTGACCAAAGAGATCGTGCGGATAGGGATGGTGTTCTCCAAGTACATCCCGATTCGCATCGTGGATTTCATGGCCGTATGGATGTCGAAGATAGTGTTCGGAGATCTGTCCAAGTACGGGATCCATAAGCCAAAGGAAGGTCCTTTCTTTCTCAAAGCAACAGCCGGGAGAGCTCCGGTGATTGATGTTGGAACCATCGGCAAGATTAAATCTAAAGAGATAAAGGTCAATCAAATCAAATTCCCGTAATGTATATATAAAATATCAAATAAATGGGTTCAAACTATACAATAAAATTTAACACTAACAATACTTTGGTACTGACCAAAGCAAAGACACGGGATTTTCTATTAGATGGTGCGAGAATTTGAAATTTTGTTATGCATGATACATGCAGGTCGTTCCAGCGATATCAAAAATCGATGGGAAGAAGGTGATATTCGAGGACGGTGTCGAAAGAAAATTTGATGTGATAATTTTTGCAACGGGCTATAGAAGCGCCACTAATAAGTGGCTCAAGGTAACAACATTCCCAAACTCCACTTTGCTTCTAATATTTCCTGCTATGATCAATTTTTTTTGTCCATCTATTTATTATAAAAGTCGTTAAGTTTTTAATGAATCTAAGATCAAATTTTTGTCGATTTCTATTTATTATAAAAGTCGTTGAGTTTTTAATGAATCTATGGTCAATTTTTTGTCGATCTCTATTTATTATAAAACCGTTGAATTTTCTGTGAACCTATGATGAATTCTTTTGTCGATTCCTATTAATCAGAACACCATTGAATTTTTAGTGAATCTATGAATTTCTTTTGTCGGTTTCGATTTAATATCAATCACGTGTTCATATATGATCAATTTTTGATCTCGTGCCTTATCTATGACAAAATTACTAATCACGTGCACGGATATGATCGATATTCGTTAAATTCAGTTGATATTTATGGAACGAAATTCTAATTGTCTGAATGATGAATGATAATAATATATTTGTGTGCAGGACTATGACTATGCTCTGAATGAAGAGGGGATGCCTAAGAATAATTTCCCACACCACTGGAAAGGAGAAAATAACCTCTACTGTTGCGGCTTATCAAGGAGGGGACTGTTAGGTGTGTCGATGGATGCCGTGATCATTGCCAATGACATTAAGAAAGTCGTCGGAGAAAAAAAGAACAAGTGAAAACGGTGCTTCTTGGAGCTTCGTCTATAAGTCTCTTGCTGGGATTTAGGGTATAATGTAGTTGTTTCTTCTTCTTCTTCTTCTTCTTGTTTTATGTTTGTGAGTTGTGTCTTAAGTTTAATGTCTCTCTTGCTGGGATTTAGGGTTATGGTCTAGTCGGTTGTTGTTGTTGTTGTTTTATGCTGGTGTGTATGTGTGTCTTAATTCATGTCGGTCTCTGACTCTTTGCAAGTACTTTAAAAGTAAAAACAAAGAACAATGTCAACTGTGTTAGTTTAATTTAAGGTATCGTTTCAGTTCTTTCTCTGGGTTATCTTTATAAGCTGTTAAGTTTAGCTATACGTGCTAGCATAAGATTTTTCTGAATAGAAAGTTATTTTTAATAATAATGGTATAATGTCAAAAAATATCCCTATAGTTTGATCAAATAGTCATTTTAGTTCTTTTTTTTTTCTTTTGGAGCATTTTGATTATAACGTATTATTTTAGGAAAGAAGAGTCTCTAACGTTTGATTAAATAATCACTTCGACTCTATTTTTTAGCTTGTTTTAGCCCAAACTTTTCATTTTAGGGTAAAAAAAACTCTATGTTGGAGCATTAAGTGTTTGTTGACTAACGATTTTTATCGATATAAAGATATTTTTGTCCAATAACGAAACATTTAGAAGATAAAATGCTTTAAACTAAATAATGATCAAAATGATTATTTAATCAAACACTAGAAGAATTTTTTGATATCACACCATTATCAATAATAAGAAAATTATTATAAATGAGGAGGTTCAAATTTTGAACTCATTAAATACTAATTTTAATGTACACGTAAACTAAATAACCTAAGCTTCTAATAATAATTTCATGTATATATGTTATAACTTGTAAGTATTTACGGAATATGTAAAACTTTAAAATTTAACTGTATAAACACAGTTCTAATTATACGAAAATATGTAAAACTTTAAAATTTAACTGTATAAACACAGTTCTAATTATACGAAAATATGTAAAACTTTAAAATTTTAATTATCTATATAGTTGTATAAATACAGTCTTTTATCAACAAAGATATAACAAAAATTAGATAATAAAAAAATTAAATCGATTAATCCATTTAATATTATTTAATTTTTTTTATTAAAAACAATCCTAAAAGACAGTTTAATTATCAAATAAAATAGATTAAATTAATCATATCGTTTGGTTTTATTAAATAAATGTTTCATTTAATTATAATTAATTTAAAATTAAATCAAAATTTTTGAGATGAATCTAATAAAATTTTGTAAATTTATAATCAAATTATGTATTAAGACATCAAAATTTAAGGATGAGATCAACTTAGGTGACGTTTTAAAACCTTAGGACCAATTTGATTAAAAAAGGAATACAGGGTCAATATAACAAAAAGGTTGTTAAGTTACTGGCCACAATGTTTATTAAGCCATTTCTTACTCCAACTGGATTGTATGTGAAGAACGCAGCGTTTTGCTCCTCTCCCCTAAACCCAAAAGATCAACTCCAGTTCGCAGCATCCTTTGACGAGCCAAAGATAAAGGTCCCAACATTTTCTCCCGCATTTTCCCGCACTAGAAAGTGAGAGAAAGTGAAGCATATTTTTCTTTTCTTATTCTCTTTTTTGAAAAAGAAATGAATTTTAATCTCTCTAAACCAATTCCTTTCATCGACCCTCCAACAGCTTATTGCGACTCATCTAAAATTCTTCATAAAAAATCCCCCTATTCTTGTTTTTCTCGCAATAAACCTCCGTGTAAAGCAACTTTCAAACCTAAGTTAAGCTTTATTAAACGCCAAAATCTGACCACTACCGTTTCCGATCATTCCACTTCCTGTTCGAGTTCCGACTCAGTTGCTTCCAGCATTGTCGAGGAAGAAGATGCAGAGTCCACTCAGTTATTCGAGGTTCGTTTACAATTTTCATTTTTTACTAACAATATAGTAATTTTTCAATGAGAAAATAATCTTTGGTGCGGAAAGTGAAAAATAAAAAGTTTGAAATCTGTTTGGTTGTTTGTTGCTTTTAGTTTTTCGGATGCAAATGGAAAATCATTATAATTTTGATTGATTAGAATTTAAAAAGTTTGATTTTTGGGATAATAATAGGCTTCATTTTGCTTTCATATTTTGAGGGAGCAATTAAGCGGAAGCAGGTAATAATGCTACGAAATAGTTGCTAAATTTTTGAGCTGTGTTAAATGAAGTAAAAAGCAATTAGCAAAAGTAACAAAAAAATGATATTGCATTTTTGTAATGCTTTGTTGAAGTAAAAGGAAAATTGCAAGAGCAAAAGCAAACAGAAATGGCACCTTAAATGTAGCCACATAGTTCTAATGGTATTTGATGCAAATTAGAGTATCTGAATGTTTTGTAGTTTTCACTGATTATGAAATGCTTATTGATTTTGTATATGTGGAAGAATTCATCTATTTGTATGGTTTTTAATTATTACTGTTGATATATTTGATGTTTCATCCTTTGTTGTGATAGTACTTCATATTTGATCTTTGAATAGCCAGTATTACATCTTACAAGCTCTATGTTTTCGAATTAATGGGCAAAATGTTATTTCCTAATATTATTGGAATCATTTTCTTCAAATGGAAATTGAAAAAAAAAGTTCTTTATTGATTCACTGAAACGGTAAAACTGTGGTATATTAGAGTTGATACGGGTGCTTTCTTTTTGCTATCTATAAATACAATGCTATCATCTGGCATCTGAACTTTGCAAGTATAATAACCCTTTTTTCATGGGATTTTGTTCTTGTAAAGCTATAGTTAAAAATTGAAAGAAAAAAAGGAAGTAAAACTGGTATATCAGATTTGATATGGGTTCTTTCTTTTTGCTATCTATAAATACAATGCTATCATCTGGTATTCGAATTTTGCAAGTATAATAACTCTTTTCTCAAGGGATTTTGTTCTTGTAAAGATATAGTGAAAACTTGCTTGGATCAATGCTTAAAGTGTTGGCAATTTTCCTTCTGGAATTCGCACTTTAAGGAATCAGGACCCTGGACTGTAGAATTACATTGTCCTTTTAGTCTCTTCAGATGACCGCTGTTTTTTAATGATTTGAATATCCTGCTGTTATTCGTGCCTTTTGACTTTTGTTGATTTCAATAATATTCCAGAAATTAAAGGATGCAGAGAGACAAAGAATAAATAAACTGGAAGAGCTTGAAAGGAAGGCTGACTTGCAGTTAGAGAGACAGCTTGTCATGGCTTCCTGTTGGAGCAGAGCCCTGTTGACCTTGCGTGGAAAGTTGAAGGGAACAGAGTGGGATCCTGAGAATTCACACAGAATTGACTTCAGTGATTTTATGGGACTTCTTAATTCCAACAATGTCCAATTTATGGAGTATTCAAATTATGGTCAGACAGTTTCAGGTAACAAAGTTTTGTAAACTTGTTTACATTGAACCTTTAGCTATTTGTTTTTCACGTAATATGTGGTGTCATTGTTTATCGCATGACTATTGACTTTTAAGTGGTCTTAAATGCAAACATTTATGAAGAGCTAATTGCTGTCCAGTTACTAAGATTATTATTATTTTTTTGATAGGAATAGGAGGTCTCATTAAAAACCTCCCTCATAGTTGACTCTTGATAAGTGGCAACTAATTGAGGGAGGAAAAGAGTACCTCAATTTATTAATAGACCAGAATTACATAAGATACACATTACCTTCTAACCCTGAATAACATAAGATAGACATAACACACTAACCCTCGATAATAAAACAGAACATTAATACAAATAGCGTTGGGAAACAATGACCCATCAGCCTAACCCATCCTCAGCTAGTTCATTTGACTCAACAGAAAGCTTGCAACACTCAACCGATCCCCTGCTTAGCTAACCTGTCGGCCTCCATATTGCAACTCCTAGGAACCCATCTAAGAACGACGCGAAGGGTTTCCGTGAGACTATTTGGTGTGACTGCGTATCCGTGACATCATAAATGTTAATAAACTATTGGAATAGAGTTGAATTTTAGATTCATCCACGATGCTTGTAGATTGAATTCCTCAGTTCTTTTTAGTACTGTACTGGTGACCTAGATTGGTGGATTAATACAGAATGGTGGTGCTACAAAATGATCTTATGTTGTTTTGTAGCTACTGCTTTTTCTGTTCATTTCTTCAATTTTAAGATCGTAGTAAGTAATAAGATTGAAGAAGTTCATTGTCATAAATCTGAATGAACTGGGTAATGGTTATCAGCTCTAGTGCTTTTCGAGGAACTTGGATATCATTTTATTGGCTGTGAACCAAATAATGGAACCAAACTGGAAAATAGCATCTAAATTAAGAGTAACCTTTAGATTGTTATAGACAAGTTGATCAATTTTGTCTTGGGTAGACTTGGGTATACTGCCTTTTGTCGTTGTTATCAAACCTCACAAAGTTTTTCAATTTTACTGATTCTGGGGTTGCTATTAGATTCTAGAAGTCTAGAATACTTACTGAATAGTTGGGATGAAGTGATCCACATATTGAATACTCGAATTATTTTGTATCTTGAGCTTAGCATGTGATTCTAAGTAGTTCATTGAAGTTGTATGCTAAGATCCTTAATTGGTGTCCTTAAGTATCTCCATGAATTCTGGGTATATGTACTTGGACTAATATGTTGACCTTTCAATTGGTTATATGTTATGCTTTTTTTTTCTTCATATTTTTTGCATCCTAGGGATTTTCTTTTGCTTAATTTGTTCAATGACATTGTAGCCTAAGTGTTCCATGTCACCGTTTCTTAAAGTAATCATGTCAGACTTATATCATTCAAAAGTACAATAAATGTTTTTACTAGATTTTAAATGAATATGTAATATACCTGTCCAAGTGAAATATAATAACCATTTCCATAGTTGTTATCTTAAGTCTTATGTTTTATTTTTCTGTTTTATGTATTTGTAAGGAACAGTTGTTTAGCTGTCTGTTTAAGTCTTATGTAATATGTTTTATTCATTAATATACTGAGGTACTCTTTTCCTCCTTCCCCTAGTGGGTTCTTTCCTTTTGGAATAGG